TCAGATAAACTTCATTTTCTAATTACGCTATCGAAATTCACAAAATGAACTAACTGTTTCAAAAGAAAAAAGAAAATTTAATAATTCTAATAGTATATTAAGGTGGTCAGTTTGAAGCTTTGGTTACCAAAACCCTTCCACCTAACGTATTATATGAAATTCAAGGTCATTTGTACGTCCGTTTAGCGTGTTATTTTATGCTACATAAAATTTTAATGAATTATCACGAAGATTACATTGTAGGTTAGATGTGAAATTTGGTGGAGTATGTAATGTAGTTGAAATGGATGACTGTCTCACTGGGAGACGTAGATGGATAATTTAAACGGGAGTGGGTAATTTACATATATATGTCTTGGAACATCACAGATTCCTGGCATATACAATCGAATTGTTAAGAAAGTACATTTTTAGTGGATAAAGGATAGATCAGATAAATCTTTCCTAGCAGTTACAGAAAAATGCATAGCATTGGGTACTACAATATACATAGATGCTTGAAAGTTGTATCTAACTGAAATGGTTTACTCCATCAAACTGTTGTTCACAAGAAGCACTGTTTTGCTGATTCGAATCGGCCGCGGTTCAAATTTTCATTTCACCTTCAGTCATCATCTAGTATAAATACTAGTCTGCAAACTACGGATATCTCAGATAGTCAAACAATAACCAATTTGATGCTCGCACCTCTCTGCAATTCACTCAGATTTGAATTGGGATGAGATGTTCTGACTAGACATCCAGTGTGAATGCGATAAAGTGGTAGTAACGCATCACGAATTCACATGGTAGTCAGGCAAAACTCCGCCTTGCGATTGAAGTGAAATAAAAATCTGGTCAGCTGTCGGACCCCCTAGGTCAATTGGTAGAGCATCGGGTCGGAAACCCGGTGGTCGCTGGTTCGAATCCGGTTGTGGTTCAAATTTCCATTTCACCTTCAATCATCACCCAATACAAATACTAGTCTATCAAATTACAGATATCTCAGACGGTCAAATGATAAGAAGCACTTCATCGACCACACAACTGAAGCGCATGCAAACAACTTTGAAAATATATGAACTCTTCTTAAAGAGTTCTTAAGATCTTTAACAAGATCACAAAGTGAAATGATATCGTCTCATATGGATGAATGGCAAGCAGACAATGATATGGGGTCAAAGAGGATAAACTAATCAAAAATACAGATGTTTTTATTTCTCATGTAAAGCAGATTTATAAGTTGTAAAGTACCATTAATCTCAATAATTAAGGTGTCCTTCACATTCTTGATGCTGATTGGTTAGTGCCTACCTGAAAGTGATTGGGCGTAACCTAAAGTTCGGTTCTACCATACTTAGCTGGAATAGCAGATTTTTGCACCGACTGAATGAACTATTACTAAACTGACACTAGCGTTTCTTGCAAAAGGTGGAGGATATATTTTTATTCAAGGAATCATTTCATATTTTAGTCTTTACTCATTAGTAGAAATAGATTATAGGCACCTGATATTCCAAGTTGATTGCAGCTGAAAATGGTGATGACCGAATCTCACTTTATTGATTGACTAGTAACAAGTTTGTTGGGAAACTAAAAGTTCTTATGTATTTAGTCAGGTATGCAATCAAGAATTACCAGTTTAAAAAGTCACTTTCCCAAGATGATACTTTAAACTACTCGAAGTACTAAGGATTTATGTAAAGTCCAAGCTATTTCCAAAATATAGACAAATGTTTAACCTCTATATCTATTGCCAACTAAATGACGTCACCTGTACTAATATGAGTATAAGAATCTTCTATTTTAAGGATAAAATATCAGGGTAACTTTGAGTGATAACTGTTTGGTACTCTCTAAACTTGAACTTCATTTCTTGGATTAGAAGACTTAGTCATCACTTCCATTATAACTTGTTATATTACAACTAAAGACCTAATCGTATCCTACTAGTCAACTGTAGTCAAGATAAATTTTTTTAAACTGAATACAGAATCAGACTGAAACTTTGCTAAATAATCCTATCCAAATCATGATGCTATTCTTCATGCTGAACTTCTAGTTTCATTATGTTATGAAATATCTTTTCTACACTTGAGTACAGTTAAAAGATACTTATAAATCAGTAACACTTTGAGAATGTAGTATTACATCTAAAAGTGTTCATGAAAGTTGATCTTTTGATGATAAAATATCCTAGTGTTGCTTCAAACTCCAGGAATTTCTCCACTAGGCTGCTTAATTACAACAACCACCTCACATATAGCAGGTATCATTCTTTTATTTGTTGATTTGGATAATATCAAAATGAAATTTTAGACAATATTGATGCATGTGTTCATAAGGAGCCCATATACCAAGTCAGATTGATCAATTCTGGCAACAGAAGATTAAACACATGAATGGTAAGGTTGGAATTCATCATCGATTGACATCAGTTTAAGGAATATTAGAAACCTGAGAGCATTGGACAACTGTTTCGTCCTACTGTGGGACTTTTCAACAGTAAGCACCCATGACCACACCCTGCTCAGCCAGGGATCGAACCCAGGACTTTATCGTTTCGTGTCCAGCACCTTACCATTAGACCACTGGGTAGGAATCCAATGTTCCATATTTCCTACTGATGTCAGTTCAAGATATAAGCGCGACCTACACTGAATGTCGTGGTTGAGTAACTGTCTGAGGTTTTGTTCATACTTAACTTTAAAACATTAATATAACTAGTCCTGCTGTATAATTTGAAGGTGTGTGGAGATTCATTTATTTCTTTTAAGGTGATATTCCTTATGAGACGATATCAGTTAGAGAACCATTCAAAAATGGAGAGCACTGGACAAATATTTCGTCGCAATACGGAACTCCTCAGTAGTACTGACCTACGACCCCACCAGGGATTGGACACAGGACCTTCAGGTTTCCTGGCGACCACCATTGAATCCCTGGATCAGAGTTCAATGGCCCACATTTTTCTACTCCTCTGAGTTCGCCACTTAGCGTGGCCTCCTTTCAATCCTGTCGTTAAGTACTTGTCCTCATATCCAATTTAGCTTGTTCCACTGGTCATAGCTTTTCATTAAAACTTCAGGAATATTGATATACTTCAGAAAATAGTGATTTTCGGCATTATCGTTTGGTTCAAACACTATTTTTTTTTATATTACTATAGAAAAAATTTCGCCAAAAGTATTAGGTATACAAGGCTTCAATAATTAATTCATTGTTCAATGTTCACTTGTGTTTTACCGTATTAATTGATAAAATGAATACATTTTTGTCTGATAGATGTATACTAGCTGTTTGTGTGAATTGTATCGATACCATTTGTTTCTGAAAACAACCAACTCTTAATTGAAGACAAAGAGCTGTGTAAATAATCTACCATTTGCACTTGAATCAAACTTTTTATTTAATTACAGCGCTTACGCAACTAATTCATCCATTTTCTGGTTTCAATTTCTAGATTGCCTGATTTTTTCTTTGGGAATTACTATCATTTAACGATTATCTTTAATTATTAAATGTAAGTGTACTATTTCTGTTTGCTAAATCGTCGGTCCAGGTTTTTCTCTTGCTATTCTTTTTTCCAGTTTCTCATAATCATCGTTTAACTCTTGTACGTGCCCTTTCTCCTGTGACAGTTAACCAACAGACTAGACGGTGAACCAACCAATAGACGGTCGTTACAATCAAGTAGTTGCTAGGGTAGTATATATAAGGAAATGAATTGCTCAACTTTCAACAAATGAATGATGTAATCGGATATTATTAGGGAGAATTAATTCTATTTCTCAAAGAATAATGTGAAGAATCACTGAAAGTATAAATTCATTTACTCACATGAATGTAACAACCAAGTTCTATATATGTAGTAAGGCAAACCATGAAGGCATTCCATTCTGAGGTTTATGAGGAATTTTATTATTAGGATAGTATTCATCATAGATTGAAACCAGTCGGAGAACCATGGGAAACCTGAAAGCATTAAACAGCTGTTCCAACCTAGTATGCGGCTTCTCAGCATTACGCACCCATGATCCTGCTAGGGATCGAACCCAAGACCTTCAGGTCTCATGGTGAACGCGTTAGCCGTCAGAGTTCAATGGTTCACAGTCTCCAACTTCTGTCAATTTACGATATACCACGATCATCATCCAAAGTCTTCAGTTAGTATCCAGTTCACTTCCAAATGGTTGGCCCCACAGGTCACGGCTTCTCATTAGAACTTCGTGATATCCATCTAGAAGCATGTTATTAATCAACCCCATACAGTAATGTATTTTTGAGATGAGGATTTCGATTTTCAGGTAGTATTCCTCACAAACTGAAACCAACTGAGAAACCACGGGAAACTTGGGAACACTGGATAGCTGTTTCGTTCTAGTAAGGGATTACGTAAAAATAAAATCCTCATAAACCTCAAAGTACATTACTGTACAGTGATTTGAAATGGATATCTGGGAGTTCTAATAAGAAGCTGTAACTTATGGGGTCAATCAGTAGGAAATGAAGTGGATCTGGATTGAAAACTTCAGTGGATAGTAGCACTACTGAACTTCGATATGGTGACCGAATGGTCAAATACTTTCGCTGCAAGACCTGAACATTGAGTTCAATTCTTGGTTAGGTCATGGATGTGCACGGCTGAGAAGTCCCACAATAGGACCAAAGTGCTCCCCAGTAGAATAAAACTAGCTGTACAATGCATAGTAATTAGTCCATGCCTTAATGGTTCATCAGTTGTCAACTATCATGAAGAATTTCATTACATTTTACAATAAGTGTTACGTAATAAAATCGATATTACTGAGATCTAAAAAATTAGCTTTAGTAATGTCATTAAGTATCAAATATCAGTATGAAAATAACGTTGCTTCATTTTGATAAATGTTACACTTGAATAGTGGAAATAAAGAGAATAGGTTTGAGAAATCAACAATTAATAATGCTGAATTTGATCAAGTTTTAAGAGAGAAAGATCCAATCTGATTCGATTAATACGGTTGAAAACTTGTAGATCTTTACTTCTTCTTCTCATCTTCCTTCAATCCTTTCTCTTCCACTAATGGAACTTCTACTACCAAAGTAGCATTGATCACTTGAACAGAGAGATACAATGGATTAATGAGCTGAGAAATTGCATTTGATTTTTTGAATTGAACGAAGTCACCAATTGAACTTTTATCTTCATGTCGTCCAGAAACTATAATACAATTAATATCATATTTTACATTCACATCTTGAGATTTGAATAATGGATCCATTAACATTTCAATATGTAATCTTTTGCTGTTATCTTCATTAACTAAAACTATTGGACCGTTAGCACCTTAGAAAAATACGTAACATATTGATTTGCTATTAGGAATAGATACTTTTTACAACAAATAATTTTGTAGTGGATTCAGTTTTGATATCGTTTAATGGTCTTGATCGATCACTCAACTGACAATCTTTAATGGAAGTAATTGGATCATCTTCAACAGTTTTTAAAGGACCTTTCAATGTTAAAATACCACCCTGGAATAGAAAAAGATAGTCTTTAGAAGATTAATGCATAGTTGAAATGGTGAAACACTTAATTACTAAGATATAGAATGACTTACATCAGAAAGATAACTTTCAGTTCCTTGTAATCGAGTGACTGATGTAGTTCTATCACACGACTAAACTCTTTAGCATTCTGTAAACTTCCAGTAGTCATCCACTTTTTAGCACAGACTGTCAGCTTACTTTCAAATGTAGTAACATTGATTTCTTCTGGTTGGAAACCTTTGACATCGAAATCCACTCTGTAATTTATCTTTAAAGGGAAATAGTTAAGTTAGTTAATGCATCTCTTTTTAACTTATTTTGTTCGAAGCTATATTGATTAAAATTTATCCTTACTTTACCATCTTTGCCTGCTTCACAGGTATCCTTCAACGTATCAGCTATTGAACCCAACAATGGCGATGATGATGATGATGTTTTCCTTGAATCAACTTTCTCTCGAATATGGTGTATATGGTGACCCACCTGACTGACTAATCCAACAGGATCATTAAGAATATCAAGACCGAATCGGCTAGTTGGCTGAAATGTGAAAATGATATCACAGTTATAAAAACAAAGAGAATTATGTTAATAAAAACTAAAAAGCATAAATTACATGAGATAAAGTACACACACGCAACCGCTAACGAAACAAGATCAAGCTATCAACCGACCAGCCAAAGCTAGCAACAGGTCAACCAGACTCAAACCTCTCCCAAAGGACAGAGCACGCATGCATAGCCACCAACTCCAACGCACCACAAACATCCGCCACAGCCGACTAGTAACACCCATAGCCCAGCGAATGGACAACGCCCGACGTTCATCAGACCTGATCAGTTTGTCCGCAGCAGACAGACGGCAGCGCCGGTAATGGGGAACACCCCGAGAAAGTCCACTGACAAGTAGACCCTCACATTTCCCAATGCATGTTCAACTCAAGAAGAAAGGAATGCTTAGTTGAGCAGCCCATGTTGTATAACTCTGCATTGAATATTTGTATCATAAAATAAGTTTGATGTTCAAACTCACCAACAATTTAAACGCTTCCTTCCAACACGTTCCATCACTTCACCATGTTTTCCAAATGATGAGTTGACCTAACTGCCAATTTGATGTGGTAGTTTCCCTATTAGAGAGTCTGTATTTTCATTTATATCACCATGTGTTAAGACTGAGGAGGAATTGCTGCTTTGATTCTCAGATGAACCTGTTCCACGAACCACAGGAATTGTTAGCAGTTGTTGATGTCCAAACATTCTTCTTATTTCTTATAGCCATGAATTTATAGTGTCATTTATAGGTAAATTAGAGAGTGAGGTAAACAAATAAATATACAAAACCACCTTCACAAACAATTTCATGATTATATCCAATTAGAAGAGTTAGTACACAGTGACATTTTCAACTAGTTCACTTTTTTTCTGTAATTTATTCATCTAAACAACAGAAAATCCACTTCATCATGTTTTGAAACTTTATTTCCCAGAGGAATGCATAACGACCTGGATTTTGTCAGTTTGGTTAGGGTTGGCATTGAAATCCAGGATGTGTTTCGTCCATTTTAGAACTTGTCAGTCAGATTTACCTGCATTCTTGTCAGCATACTCACTGGAACTGAAACTCGCTGACCATCACTTCAGATATCTTGGAGTTTGCTTCTAGTCACCATCAAACAAGGAAACTTTAAACATAATTTAAAACATCAGCGAAGAAAGTATCCAACTAGTTGAAAGTGACAACACAAGATTAATTCAGTTTAGTACAATAGATGAGGCAAAATTACAGAATGTAATTAACGATCTAAACTTGTAAGAGCAGACAAAAGCTTACCATTGAAAACGCCTAGATATCACAAAGAAGTTAAGTAAACAGACAAAGAGAATTCGAAGGTGGTTATAATTATTAGGAGGAAAAAGGCACAAAATATTGTAAGCCCCACTTTTTGATTGACAGCAGTCAGTAAGAACCTCCTACATTGTGGACAAAGTATCGCAAATTAATGTTGAAAGATAAATTTTGCAAACTGGTCATAACAGTTAGGCATCATATGCACTGACTTATCATACCATTGAAACGAAAATATCTTACTTCTTGTTCTGAACGTCAATCAGCATTGAGAACTATCCACAACATTCATTGCAAATTCACGAACAATTTAAATTCTTTTGTCATCGACTTTATTGCTCAGCCTACTCTTTTGCGCTTTTACACTTATGCTACTTATTGCTAGCAAGTAGTGTTGCATGTTCAACACAATTTGTGGTTTTGTGAGTTTTGGAGAGAACTGAAACAGTATGATCATATATCGATCTAATTCCATTTCAATTCTTGAGTAAGTCCTGCTCTTCGAGAGATTTGTTGATTTTTGTTCTATTTATCTGATATATTACAAGTACTACTTCATGAACTTCCATATTTGGCATAATATTTCCATTGTCTCATAGAGGTATACGTTTCGTCTGCATATCTAGTATTAACCGGCCGCTAGACACAACCACTGGGAGCGGATTGGTTCCTAGTATATTGTACAAATTAATTTCCGTTTATTCAACATAAGACTACTTTAGCATGTCTATGCTTCTCATAGTGCGAAAAGCACATAGACACATCAGAATACTATGCAAGAAGTTGTAGCAAATAATCAATGACACAATAATATATGTCCTAATCCGGGTTGACAACGACGTGTGAATAAACGGCGTATAACACACTTTCCAATTAGGTGTTTGGTGTTGATTTGATTCGTTTAAAAGGCATATTTTTTAAAGGATTGGCTCCAGATCGAGAACTGAACAGCTGCTCTCTTCCGCTTTAAGACCTATGACTGCAATGATGTATATATAGCGGAAAATCATTTACAACTTTCTACAAATCTTAAACTTGTACACAGAAACTTTGTGAGATAACACAAAGTACTTAAACAATGAATTAATTATATTTTCTTCAAGCAAATATTTGTAAAGGATAAATGATAATTCCGTGGGGATGTTTGTTTTTGCCACTTAAGTCTAAAGCTCTTCTCCGTGACACTCACAAGATTATTGTTAACATTGTTCACTGAATGAGTTCAGATTGGCTTTCCGATGATGTAACCATAAGGCATGTAGTCACCATAGATCATCTGTGTGTGATCTAAGCCCATACACATTGAAAAATTGAAAATCAGCACATCAGTGAGAGCTAAGAACTCAGACATTAAAATAAAGAAATGTTTCTAGGGGCGTATTTCTATACGATGTTTGGTCAACAGAGAGGAACTAATTTTATGTTAATTAGTCGTGTTGTCTGATAGCATTCTGTCGATGACTTTTGAAATGCGGCCATTAAATTAGAAGACTTGCTATTGCAATACACTTTTTCTTGACACTAAGTGGTTTGGCGCGTTGGGTTGGAACGAAACCGTGTTCAACCTAGTTCTTGGGTATGTTGTTACTCGTTGTAAGGTGTATCTGCACTCTCAAGAGAAATGAGGCCCCTCCAGAGCTCCAAAATGACCTTTCATTTATTCCTCACACCACCTCCTCCATGTCACCCTCACCCCGAACGCCCAACTTGTCGTTTCCCATTTGAGTTCCACACCATGGCATGACCTCCAGCGTGATGTCCCCGAGTGATCTTCTCAGTGTATGCCCAAACTAATCCATCTCTACTTCCTTCTGCACATTTGTTGGGCGATGAGTTCTTGGTTGGTTCGTTGTCATGCCACAGTTGCTTATTCTTTCTGGACATCTGATCTCATCTTCACTATTGAGCATAGGTACCAGCTGTAGATGTATGTCTGCAGTTTGTCGGAAATGCTTTCCGTAAAGTGCAGTCAAGTCTCTCAACCATTACACAGAAACACGAACTTGACTGAATTAGTGTTGAAAATCCGAATCTTGTTCACACTTCATGCTGAGTGCAATGGAGTGCAGCACAGTAGATCTCCACACTAATTTCAAATGAATGAAAGCCTGCCTTGCTTTTCCGATCCTGGTTTTGACATCCTCGTCTGTGCCACCGCCTGTAGTTGAGACGAAGCAGCTTTGCCTACATAGGTGAAACAGACTACTTCCTTCAGATCTCTCCCATTCATGGCGACTGCTGCTTGTTATTTTTGTTCATGCTGTTGTTGTTGTTGTTGTTGTTGTTGTTGTTGTTGTTGTTGTTGTTGTTGTTGTTGTTGTTGTTGTTGTTGTTGTTGTTGGGTATCTTCATCACCTCCACCTCTGTCTTCTCTACCTTCACTTCAAGTGGCGTCTCCCTTCGCTGCCTCAACACACCTCACCTCACCTCACCTCTCCTGTCAACTTGTTGGCTTTTCCATGTACAACTTCGAGCGTGTGCGACAAGACATTAGACATAAATCATCATCGGAGGCGAAATCCAAATCTTCCTCTGGAGTCTTCTCATCCGTCCAGTCAGTGTATGCACATCTTCTCAAAGATCCTCACAGTGGTCTGTTGCATGATCCAATCAAGCCAAGTCGAGTCGAGTCGAGTCCAGCCGAGTCGAATCGAGTGGAGTCAACCACAATCAGGAAGATGATTGGCTATAGTAGGTGTCAACCTTGTATTACTCCTATCTCCACTTCCACTCAAAAGACATCACTGAGCTTCCCATTGTGTTATGAATCACTTGGCATGTGGCGTCGTCATGCTGTTGTTGTTGTTGTTGTTGTTGTTGTTGTTGTTGTTGTTGTTGTTGTTGTTGTTGTTGACTGAGGTTGATCAAGGTTTGTGGTACTAAACGTGTAGTGTTGATGCAGCTGCCTGCCTTCGACGCTGTCGAAGGCGTTTTCAATATCGAATGAAGTTGAGGTGATGTAGAGAGTTGACTGCCATCCTTTACTCTGTTGTATGATGATGCGTAGCGTAGCGTTGCAGTTTGATCCTCATATGATTTGTTCCTCCTGAATCCAGCCGACCAGCCTGTCCCGATCGTGATTTTGAATCCAGCGCACTGTTTAGTCTCTCCAGGATGATGTGGCTCAGTATTTTGCTTGCTTTGGGTGGACAGGGACAGGAGGATGCTTCCACGCCAGTTCTTTCAAAGACTTGGGTCTCCCATCTTTGGAAGTTTGACAAGATACCCGTTCTTACAGTTGGTAGGTTACTTTCCTTTCTTCCTTCCGAACCTTCTACAGCAGGAGTGGTGTGAGCATGTTGGTGGTGGAGATCGACTCAAGAGTTGTTTCAAGTGGTCATCTCATCGTTTCCTTTGTTTCTCCTCTTTGGTAACCTACTTCCCTTCACTATCTCTCATTCATTTTGTCTGCGTTGATCTCTTCCCACCAAGACATTAGGTTACCTCGTTATTTGAAATAGTGTTGTCAGGCAGGTCTCTGTCTACTCTACATGCAGCACACAGCCTGTTCTGCTTCACTTGCTTATGTGTCGTAGAAGTGTCTTCTGTATTTCCACCCACTCTTCTTCAATTCTTTCTCCAGTGCAGTGTTTTATACGTTGTACTCAGTTCCTCTTTCCGTTGTTCATCCGTGCACTGCACTGCACTGCACGGTACTGAACTGGTTCATCTTCTGCTTCACCATCACCATC